TCTCTCTCTCTCTCTCTCTCTCTCTCTCTCTCTCCAGAATGTGACTCACTACCACGACCATCGCCACGCTGTCGAGTTTCGCAGGAAGCTCAACAAGGTGAGGTCACTGAGGATCCGTTTAAAAAGACGAAGAAGTTTAAAAACCACGGCAGCTGTTCGTCTTTGCTCGATTCTTAAATTAAACATCAATGAAGTTTTTATTCACTTGAATAAATTTCTGCCTGATTCAACGATTTATTGCAAAATAACGTCTCATGTAAACGTCTCAGATCCATGTGACGGGGAATCATCTTCTGATCCATATCACCTCTGTGTTATTCAGCGTTATCTTGAAAACGGGATTTATTCGGATCATATATTTGTTGACCTCGACTTTTGACCTCTGAGCGCTCGGCTCCAAAAGCGTTTCTGACGTGTTTCTGTTGTTTCAGATGGAGGTAGAGCAAGGCATCAACAAAGCGATAGGGGAGGTAGACATCCTCTTCACGTACCTGCAGGATTTCTGCATCCAAGTGAAAAACTCCACCGTCGCCATCATCACCCCCGCCGCCGCTCGCTGACGCTTCCGCTCCCGCTGAGCAGAGACGTTTTCTACTTTCATATTTATCACCTTTTATACGTCCACTTTTATACTTTAACTTATTCATGTATTTAATTTGAGAACGTATTTAACAGTTTTTTATATTTATGAGAACTCGGTGATGACTGATATATATATATATAGTTATTGATCGATTTATGGATCAGAATGTTTGAACACCTGAGAGGATTCTGGTGTTGATCTGTTGCCATGTTATGGCTCAATATCACAGTTTTTAAAACTGGTGTTAAACTGAAACTGTTTCAAAATTTAACTGTTAATTAATAAAGTTTGAGTCAAATATGAAAGTTGATTTTTATCGTTTTTGTGATGAAGAAAAAAAAAATCTGAAAATAAAAACTGTGAAAAAAAACATCGTTGAATCAAAATGGTTGAATTTCTGGACTTTTGATAAAGATGGACGACGTGACAGCTCCGATCAGTGAAGTGTCTCTATCGCCCCCTGGTGGCTGGTCTCCACCTCCTCCATGTTAGCAGGTGTGACATGGATCACAAAGAACATTTTAATAAAAACGTCAACACGACGTCGGTCTCAAACTTTACATGTTTGTCATGAACACGTGGTTTCAAATAGTTTATTTTATTTTCATGAATAAGCTGCAAACACAAGTGAACCTCAAACCTCCGTCAGTGCCAGAAAGTAACTGAGTACTTTTAGTTACTTGTTACTTTTCATACAAATTATTATCAGATACTTTATAATGGAATTGTCTGTCTAACACACACACACACACACACAC